TCAAAAAACGACACGCATTTTTATTAAACACTTCCTATTCAATTCACAAAGTACCTATTTTATTTGTTTATATAAAAAGTATATTTACAATCATAAAACTAAATGGAAACACAAAGTAGGCAAATGTAAAAATGCTGGAGGCAGGTAGCCCTATCACATGTTTACGTGCCGCACGGCTGTAGGCATTTATTTGAAAGATGCGGCCGAGTTACAATACTGTATAGATAATATCTACCGTGCTTTAGTTTTCTGTTGTTTTTATTTTTCTGCGTAATGTCTAGAATCGTGTTGTGACAATTTTTATTGCGTAGTAAAATTCTACACGTGTATAAATATGCAATGTGTTTTACACCTTCTTTGTTGCGTTGCAATCGATTTGACAGCTGTTAATTTTTCCACATCCGCCCGGAATTTATTTGTCATTTTATGCGCAGGTGAAAGAATATTATAGATTGTCCATCACAGAGAAATAGTTAATGACAATAATTATTTACGAAAACCTTCCTAATTTCAATATTAAATATTATTTGTATTAAATATGATTTTATTGTTAATATAATTTATTTCATTGTACGTGGACAAGGTGAAACTATATTACGGTTGCAGTACGAATTGGCGGCTCGACCGGGGTAGGACCACGCTCTCGCAGAATAACAGCGTAAAATAGCGGTTTAATTTTCTTTTGCTGTGTTTCTTATTTTATCTTATTCCTCATGGATACAGGGGTCAAGAACGTGTATAGGTTTAAAGAATCGGAGATCCTTTTTACTGGAACAGGACGACATTTCCTCCTAGTTCTCAGGAGTAACAACGCATCTGCTTTTTGATTCTTAACTGTGGATGTCTATGGGCCACAGCATCCACTTACCGACTGTTGGACAGTGTTTAGTTTGTCACTCTTATCTCTATATGTAAAAATCAGTTGCTGTCCGTTGGTCTAACTAAACTCGAAAACGGCACTAACAATTTTGATGAATTATTCTGTGTGTTTGTGTGGGTACCTGGACGGTGTATATTTACAATTGGACCCGGTAGATGGCGCTGTTGCCGAGATAAATCACACGTGCGAAGCCGGTGCGGATCACTAGATCTGTATAAAAAATACTGTCTAAACTTTCTAGTAAGCCTAGGAGTCTATTTACGTTGTTGCCTACTTCAGTCGATTCCAAATGTTTGCTAAAATTCAGTTTTCGGGATGTACGACGAGTTCTCGACGTATGGATGCCTCGCTGAATTGAATGTGTTACTCGAGGACTAGCGACTATTTACTCTAACTTTTGCCATTTAGTACGCCTCTTCTGATCAGGAGTCTGGAACCTACTCGAAAGCCCCCCCCCCTTCCCTCCTGTTTCTACCGCCAAATGTGTTTGCCCAGCTGTGTTCCGGTCTGAAGAGAACACAGAGCATGTATAATTGTAGGTTGTACAGCATTTCATTTTGATCTTCAGAGGAGACAACGCATCTGTGATCTTCTTCTTTGTTTGAAGTTGGTTACAAATGTCTATAGGCTGCAGTAGGTACGAGTATATTAATATTATAGTTGTAGCACGAATTGGTCGGTTCGACCGGGGATGGACCACGCTCTTACAGAATAACAGTGTAAAATAGCAGCCTAATGCTGCTTTGTTTCGTATGGTGAGTGTAGAGATCCGGAGACCCTTTTTACTGAAAAAGAAGTATTCCATCTTAGTCCTCACGGGTGGCAACGCATCTGCATTTTAATTTGCAAACGAGGATAGATGTAGATGTCTATGGACCGCAGCAACCACTTACCATCAGGTGGACTGTGTGCTCGCTTGTTATCCTCATCCTATATAAAAAGTACGTCTATACGTATATAATAAGTAATGGTAATAAGTATGGTTAGATTGTGGGTCCGTATAGTTTTCTAAATTGTAATCTACGGATCGTTTGAAATTTCTTCTAACATGTGGAAATATCACATGCTACCAATAATGCACCAATGGTTATGTATTACTCAGAAGTTTATCGATACTTACCACGTTGAGGTTGGTGAGTGTACAGATAATCTCAATCTCATAATGTTAACCCCCATTACCAGTTATTGTTACAAGTCCCTAGAGGTTCAGCGTTTTTATGTTTTTTGCTGGCAGATGAATCAAGGAAGCTTAAAGAAAGGTTGGACAAAATATCGTATTTTAAACACTGATAGAGCCGTGGTAGCTCAGTGGTTAACGCTCGCTGTTAATATAACAGAACGCGAGTAACCCGGGTTCGATCCCCGCCGGCACCAATGAAATTGTTAATTGCAATTTTAAGTGCTGATTTACCACGTGCTCGGCGGTGAAGGAAAACATCGTGAGGAAACCTGCATGTCTGAGGAATAAGAAAAAAAATATTTCGAAGACATGTGAAGTTCGTCAACACGCATTTGGGCAGCGCGGCGGACACTTCCTTGCCCTAAACCCTCTCAGAAATGAGGGGAGACCTGAGCCCAGCAGTGGGACGTATATAGGCTGTAACTTTATTTTACTTACTTTTAAACACTTGATACTTCTGGAAATATTATACGCTCGGGAAGAAATTTAAAGTATTTTATGTATACATAAAATACTCAATTAAATTGTTAATCGAATGGATTCTTAAAACACTATATTAATCGAAATTAAAAAAAAAAAATTAATCTAAAGCAAAATACTTCGAAGCTCGAGTGCTCGTTTTTTTAAGCGATAACCATAAAATATGTTTCGATAATAAGAAAGGCATATTATTGAATTAGATTTCTCGGCTACATTTTTATTAAAATACTTTAGTTTCGTAAAAGCGTTTCAAATAAAGCAACTTTCTATCCACCAAAATGTGGCACGCTTAAAAAAATGTATGCAGCGGTGAAGGAAACGCTAAAAGTCTTTTAACACTCTCTTTTTCCTTAATTTTCTGACGCTAAAACGTATATTACATGGTAAAGTCACACTGAACTATATTATGGTTGTAACTAGAGATGGACCGAATATGAATTTCACCGAATAAGAATATTCGGCCGAAAGTTCGGTAAAACTTTTACTTAACCGAATTTTCGGGCGAACATTATTCGCGAGGAATTAGCACCGGACTTTGACCTTCGTTCATCATCTAGTACTGAGCAATTTGGCGGAATATGCTTATATTTTGACTATTTTTGTGAGAAAAAAATTAATTCGTTCTTAGTTAAAATTGATAATTATATGATAAAATGAGTGACAGGAGATCTACTATTTGTACTTATTTTAGTGAAGCTGACGACCAAAGTAAAGTTAAAAAAAAGTATAAAATGCGATGTTTCTTTGTTTGATTCCAAAAACATTTTATTAAGCTTTCTATTTGCTATAATTGTAAATAAATTTCTGTAACGGTGTGCTCACCTGCCCGCATTGCGCGCGAACATTTGTTAATAAGATCGGCTACGTTAGCCATGCGCGAGCACACCAACGACAGGATCGGAGTTTAAGAGGTCGCCGTGGCCGAAATCGGTCGAGGAATATATATATATAAATAAATCGCAAAAACATAACCCTATACAAGTAGATTTAATCTATAAATAAAATATACTTTTAACAGTAAAATATGAAAGACATGGCATTAGTCAATTCGTACATTTCAATACAGTGGACACTTTGAGTACCTACCAATATCAGCCGAATATTCAGTAAAGCTACCGAATATGAAAGGCTGTGTGGCTTCCCCGTGGCTGTTCAACCTATTTATGGACAGTTGTTTGCAAAATTTGAAAGTTGAAGAATGCGGATTAAGAATGGGTGAGTTAACCGTCAAATGCCTTTTGTACGCCGATGATCAAGTTATTCTTGCGTCGTCGGCGGCCGAGCTGCAAATGATGGTTACATTAATGAACAGATCATTAAAAGAAAGGGGTATGAAAGTGAACGCGTACGACGATTTATGTTTTTGAAAGAGAAGAAAGTAAGACGATATGTGAAATAAGAATAGAAGGGGAGGTGATCGTGCATGTAGATGAGTTTGTATTTCTGGGTTGCGTATTTAGCAGGGATGGGAGATGTGATAAGGTTATAGAACGACGAGTGAATGCAGGAAATAGAATAAATGGGGCCCTACACTCTATTGTGAAGAGTCAAAATGTGTCGAAAAAGACACGAATGGCAATTCACAATGTTGTTTTGGTACCTACTTTAACGTATGGTAGTGAAAGTTGGGTGTGGCAGAAGAAGCACGAGAGTAGAATGAACGCAGTAGAAATGCGGTCGTTAAGGAGTATGTTAGGGCTGAATCTGAATGACAGGGTAAGAAATTGTGTGATAAGAGACGAGTGTGGTTTGTAAGATGATGTTGTGACCAGGATTAAGAAAGGAATGCTTCGGTGGTTTGGTCATGTAGAAAGAATGAATGAAGAAAGAGTGACAAAGAAAATTTATGTTGCAGAAGTGAATGGCAGAGTCGGAAAAGGATGTCTTAGGCGAAAATTTATCGACCAAATTGGCGATATATTGAAAACGGGCCAAATTAGGAGTACCCTTAACCGACGAGCATGTATGCGTAGATATATGGATGTGAAGGAGGCGAGAGAGGTGTGTCAGGATCGTGCCAAATGGAAGTCTGTAGTCTCTGCCTACCCCTCTGGGTGACAGGCGTGAGTGTTATGTAATGCTACCGAATATGCTGAATTCCGAATATGAAACGAATATTTGGCCCATCTGTAGTTGTAACACGAATGGATCGACTCGTCCGGGGCAGGACCACGCTCTCACAGAATGCCAGCGATATGTAGCAACTTAATGCTGCTGTGTTCCGTATGGTGATTGCAGAGAACCGGAGACCCTTTTTATTGGAAACGGGGCATTCCATAGCAGTCATCAGGGGTGACAACGTATCTGCATTTTGATTCTTAATAGAGGATAGATGTAGACGTTTATGGGCTACAGAGTACACTTACTATCAGGTGGACTGTGTGCTCATTTGTCAATCTTGTTCTGTAAAAAATATATACTTACCTGTATCTTTAATGCATTTGCTTTCTTTTGTTTCAGAATCCGTTATCAGTAGACCTAGTAATAAATATGCCGCAGGACGGCATCCGGTTAATATTTGACCCGGTCGCGCAACGCCTCAAGATTATAGAAATTTACAATATGAAATTAGTTAAGCTTAGGTATAGGTGAGTATTTTATTGTTTTTAATGTATCTTTAAACTAAAAATCGTAGTTAAAATGGTCAATAATACAATTTCTACCGCAGCGTTGCAGCGATTTCGTAATATTAATCAAACAAAGTCTAGAAAGACAGCAGTGTCTAAGGAAGAAAGTTTGGAAAGAAAATTGATGGAATCAGGCGTTACTTTGCGGAAATCCATTATAATATAAAAATATTCGGTTCGACAAAAAATGAGATTGACTTCATTAGACGACCAGACGCCAACTGTTCAGTGATGTCTCAGTGATCGCAAGGGTGAAAACTGGCAGCGATCACCGAGTGGTTAGAGGCACACTGAACCTAAACGTTAAGTTGGAGAGGTCTCATCTAATGAAGTCAACGCTCCGTCCCCCTCGTGCTCTAATCCAAAATCCCGAAAACTTTCAGCTCGAGTTACACAACCGCTTTCAGTGCCTACAAGATTGCAATGCAGTGGACGATATGAATGACAAGCTCGTGGACACTGTCCATGCGGTCGGAGCTAAGTTCTGCAAGACCCGCCGCAGAAGAACACAAAAACTCTCCGATCACACTCTTAATCTCATGGCTGTTAGACGGGAGATGAGGCTGCAATCGTCAACAGATTTGACAGCATACAGGCAACTGAACAGACAGATCTCCAAATGCATCCGGCGAGACTTACGCAACTTTAATACTGCTCGTATTAAAGAAGCGATCGAGCGGAACCAGGGCTCCAAAGTCTTTGCCAGAGATCTGTCTGCCCGTAAGAGCCAACTGTCAAGGCTGAAGACTGAGTGTGGCAGCATCGTTTCCGGGACACCTGAGATTTTGAGTGAGATTGAGAGGTTCTATGGGCAGCTGTACACATCATCGTTGGAGCCACACACAAGTGTGAGTAACGATCCAAGAGCAAGTCTTATCCGACACTATTCCGATGATATCCCGTACGTCAGTCTAAGCGAGATTAGAATGGCTCTCCAGCACCTTAAAAACGGCAGGGCCCCAGGCGAGGATGGAATTACAGCGGAGCTTCTGAAAGCGGGTGGAACACCGGTACTTGAAGTCCTTCAGAAGCTCTTCAATTCCGTCCTCCATGGTGGCACTACTCCAGAGGCGTGGAGCAGAAGTGCGGTGGTCTTGTTCTTTAAGAAAGGCGACAACGCTCTCTTGAAGAACTACAGACCGATTTCCCTTCTGAGCCGCGTCTACGTGCTGGTTTCGAGAGTCATTACGAATCGTCTCGCACGCAGACTCGACGACTTCCAGCCTCCCGAACAAGCCGGTTTCCGAAAAGGCTTCAGTACCATAGACCACATACATACCCTGCGGCAGATTGTACAGAAGACCGAAGAGTACAATTTGCCACTTTGCCTGGCGTATGTGGACTATGAGAAAGCCTTTGATTCCGTCGAAATTTGGGCGGTGCTGCAGTCCCTTCAGCGGTGCCAAGTTGACTGTCGGTATATCGAAGTGCTGAAGTGTTTGTACAGTAGGGCTACGATGGCTATCCGAGTACAGAACCAGAGCTCGAAACCTATCCAACTGCAGAGAGGTGTAAGACAGGGTGACGTTATATCCCCGAAACTCTTCACCGCTGCTTTGGAAGACGTTTTCAAGCTACTGGACTGGAAAGGATACGGTATTAACATCAATGGCGAGTACATCACTCACCTTCGATTTGCCGACGATATAGTCCTTATGGCAGAATCGCTGGAGGACTTAAGCACTATGCTCAATGACCTAAATAGTGCCTCCCAACGGATAGGTCTTAAGATGAACATTGACAAAACAAAGATCATGTTTAATGTCCATGTCACACCTATGCCGGTAGTTGTTGGGAGCACTATGCTCGAAGTTGTTGACGAGTACGTTTACCTGGGACAAATAGTCCGACTAGGTAAGTCCAACTTCGACCGAGAGGTCAATCGACGGATTCAACTCGGCTGGGCAGCGTTCGGGAAATTACGACACTTACTTCTTCTCGTCAGGTATACCTCAATCTCTGAAAACTAAAGTGTACAACCAGTGCGTGTTGCCAGTGATGACTTACGGATCAGAGACGTGGTCCTTCACTGCTGGCCGTATGAGGACGCTCAAGGTCGCTCAGCGAGCTATAGAGAGGGCTATGCTCGGAGTTTATCTGCGTGATAGACTCAGAAATGAGGATATCCGCAGTAAAACCAGAGTGACCGCCATAGCCCAACGGATTAGTAAGCTGAAGTGGCAATGGGCCGGCCATATAGCTCGAAGAACCGATAACCGATGGGGAAGAAAGGTTCTCGAGTGGCAGCCTCGTACCGGTAGGCGTAGTGTAGGGCGACCCCCCACTAGATGGAGTGACGACCTGGTAAGATATGCAGGAAGTCGGTGGATGCAGGTGGCTCAGGACCGTGCTTTGTGGCATTACTTGGGGGAGGCCTATGTTCAGCAGTGGACTTGTGAAGGGCCGTGATGATGATGATGATGATAAAAATATTAACTACTTCGCAACCTTCCGCTAACTAAATACAATGACGTGTCTTACCTGGATTGAAGAGCACCTCCCGCCCTCCAATTGCATCTACACACTTTTTTTACTACACAATTGCACTAGTGGTGACGGAGTTAGTGCATGCCATTGAGGGAGGGCGGGAGGTGCTCTTCAATCCAGGTAAGACACATCATTGTATTTATTTAGCGGAAGGTTGCGAAGTAATTAATATTTTTATTATTTGGAAAGAAAAGCGCACTGTCAGTGTGTATATGTGTAGCATTTCGAACTAGTTTAATTCCTCCCCCCCCCCATTACTCAAAAACTATTAGACATATACACTTATTATTTTGCATGACTGGTATACCTGGAATTATTTATTTCACGAGTAAACATAAGTAGTTCTTGAGTTATTATGGGGTGAGAAGTGAAATTTTTATTATTTACTGGTTCGCTGACTTCATAAAACACCTATACCACTTCTAGGTGACTTAGAAACTTGAAAGTTGGCATTAAGGTATATAAGTGGAAGGCATTATGCGCATACAAAGAAAAAAATTTTGAATATATATATATATATATATATATATATATATATATATAAATAAAACTTTTTCTTATAGTTTTTAATGTGATTAGTATAAGTAAGTAAGTACTAAATACTACCAGTAACTTTAAAGACATTTAAAATATAGTTCAATTAAGAAGTGCTAACATTAAAAATTTTGTACAACCGACTTCAATATAAATAAAATGAGAACATCATCAATGTAGTCGAAGTCAATTAAATACGCATTATTACGGATAACTTAAAAAATACTGGTCAGATCTTGATCAAATTAATATGGGACCACATAATAAGCACTAGTTTTCAATTAAGAAAAGAATCAATAAAATCGGTCCACTTAGAAAAAGTTCTGAAATATACAACAAAATACATTCGAATTGAGAACTTCCTCCTTTTTTTGAAGTCGGTTGAAAATAATAAAACAGAAAAGTTACGCTAGAAAAAACCTTGAAAGTTGTAAAAGGATATATTTTAAATGAATGTTTTTCCACAAAAAAATCCGAAGAAAGGGAGTATCAGGGGATATTAGTATCATTTACATAGCAGTTCTTTAAATCACAGCATATGGAAGTACCTGCAACGTTCATAGAGCAGCTATGGAGTATGCTACCCGTTAAGATTTAGACTCTTATCGGCGAAGCCGACAACCCTCTACCGTCGATTTTAGATACCAAATTTGACCCCCTTTTCACATTTTTAAGTTCCGGTGGGATTTATGTTACGCTTGAAACACGAGAAGTCTGGCAGCGTTTATGGTAATAATCATTTAGTAAGTGTCACTCAAAGCGGTTTTTATGTTGCATTTTTAAGAACTGTGTAACTGGTCTAAAGGTCAGGTGTTTGCTTCTATCAATGTCTTTTGTTGTACGAATATAGCAACACAACACATCATCTGTATTGACCTGATGACATTTTAACGTTGATCGAGTAAATAATGTTCCCGCGCACGCCAATCTGTCAGTGACGATGCATACTGTCAGCATGTAAGAGTAAATGGTACTTAAATAGAGTAGTAGAGATAAAGAGTTAAGTAGAGATAAAGACGACTTTTATAGTGTCTATCCATCCAAAACATTTTTTTTAATATATTAGGGGAAAACGAGCACACAGTGCTAGTTTGTCATCATGTCAGTGAAACTAATGGTAAGTTGATGCTGTGAAACTAATGGTAAGGGGATGTGCTCGATTAAGTATCAAAATGCAGACTCGTTGTCACCCCTGAAGACTATGATAGAATGTCTCGTTTCCAGTAAAAAAGGGTCTTCGGATCTCTAAACTCACCATACGAAACGCAGCAGTATTAAGCTGCTATTTTACGCTGGTGTTCTGTGAGAGCGTTTTCCTTCCTCGGTCGAGCCGACCCATTCGTGCTACACCCATAATATAGCTGCAGCGTGGCTCTACCACGAATCCATAATAACCTATATAAAGTCCACAGCTGAACATAGGCCAGTTCCATAGATTGCCTCATAGGGAGGATATTGCCATAGCTACCACGCTTGGCAGGTGGATTTGAAAGGATTAATTCTGCTACTCGATACTAGATGGCGCTAGTGTCATGTACCAGTACCACTTTATAAAGACGATTTTTATTTACTGTATATTTATTTATAAAGCACTACTTTAATTTAGCAGTAGTGTAGTGGTGGCGGCGGCGGTACCCCGTATAAAAGTTGTAAGACGTAATTGGTGTAACATGTAAGTGTTGTTGCGACAAAGGCAAACTTAAACAGGAGGAGGGTAGAAGCATTTTTTTGATGACAGCTCAAAAGGAAAACATGCGCCTGTCAAGCGGCATAACTATAGCAAACAAGCCACCTACTTAGAGCATACATTACATGGAGGGAGCACTGTGTGAGAGAAATACGTGTTAAGGTTTGGTAGGTTTTTTGCACACACGAAGGATGTCCTAGTTGCAGTGTCTTTGTTAAGTCTCTAGGACCTCGATGATGCAATCTATGGAGCTGGCCTATGTTCAGCGTTGGACGTTTCTTAAGCTGTAATGATGACGTTGATGATGGTGACCATTTTAATTTAATAAATAAAAGCATAGTTTTGTTTTTAAATCGGATATTTAAAGTTTTATGTTAGTGTTCATTATTTTACCCGACTGCGGTGGAATCCAATAGGATGGTGATATTTTTTGCTGGTTATGTATATTTGTATTTCCATTGCTATGTCCGTTCTTAATTTCTAAATTAGTCATATCACAATCGATTCCTCATACTTGCGCGGGTAACTACTAAGTCAAGCATGAAATTTTGAAAATTAGTTGTTTATCGCATTTTAGTATACATATTTTTATTTTGGCTCTTTACAGTGGCATGTGCTTCAACTCGCCTGAAATAACGCCGTCAATCGAACAAGTGGAGCACTGCTTCGGTGCGACGCATCCTGGCCTCTACGACTCACAGCGTCATCTCTTTGCGTTGAACTTTCGAGGCCTGTCTTTTTACTTTCCAGTCGATAGCAAATTTGAGGTAATTAATAACGAACTGTTGTCTTTATGAAGTAAAAAGATGAATTGCCATCAAAAGCTTAATTGACAGAATTAACAATTTAATTAATAGAATCAGGCGTTACTTTAACGGATATCCATTATATTAAAGTGGTTAGTCGTCGTAGGTAGCAACCGAACCTTCACCGGAGATTCTTAGCACCCCCCTGCCCCACCGTTACCATGGTCGCCACCGTAGCCAGGAATAGGGGGCCGCCGGGGACTGGGGGCCGTTTGTTTGCGTCGTTACTCATGGGGGATATTCGATTCGGGAAATTACTACGCATCTTCTCGTCAGGTATACCTCAAAACCTGAAAACTAAGTTGTACAACCAGTGCGTGTTGCCAGTGATGACCTACAGAACCGAGACGTGGTCCTTCACTGCTGGCCGTATGAGGTGTTAGCTATGGAGAGGGCTATGCTCGGAGTTTCTCTGCGTGATAAACTTAGAAATGAGGATATCCGCAGTAGAACCAGAGTGACCGACATAGCCCAACGGATTAGTAAGCTGAAGTGGCAATGGGCCGGCCATATAGCTCGAAGAACCGACAACCGTTGGGAAAAAAGGTTCTCGAGTGGCAGCCTCGTAGCGGTAGGCGAAGTGTAGGGTGACCCCCCACTAGATGGAGTGACGACCTGGTAAGACGTGCAGGAAGTCGATGGATGCAGGAGCTCAGGACCGTGCTTTGTAGCATACCTTGGGGGAGGCCTATGTCCAGCAGTGGACTTGTGAAGGGCTGTAATGAAGATGATGATGAAAGTGGATAGAACTTAATTTACGGTACTTCCCGAAGAGTCACCGCAGATTCTACTCCTGAAGATGCCTCGTGTAGTGGCGAAACACTTGTCGTATTGTCGAGGGTGGGGTGTCTTTCCTAGTGTGGTGGTGCTGGGATTGGTGATGACGGGGATATTACATGCAATTGAGGAAGGGCGGGAGGTCCTCTTTAAGCTGGGCAGGACTCACAATTTTATTTCTTTACGCGGAAAGAAGAAGAACAGGAAGCGGAAGTGGATGTATGCTGGTGGTTCAGGACCGTACTTTGTAGCGTTCGTTTGAGGGAGGCCTACATGCATTGGGCTTGTGATGGTCTGTAATTATTATGATGATCTCTTTTATAGAGTAATGGTTATAAACGAGCATACAGTCCACCTGTTGGTAAGTGGATGCTGTGACCCATAGACATCTACATTTATCCTCGATTAAGAATCAAAACGCAGATGCGTTGTCACCCCTGAGGATTAAGATGGAATGCCTTGCTTCCAGTAAAAAAGGGTCTCCGGATCTCTAAATTCACCGTACGAAAGACAGCAGTATTAAGCTGCTATTTTACGCTGGTCGTCTTCCCCGGTCAAGCCGACCCATTCGTGCTACAACCATAATAATGCTGCAGCTTGGCTCTACCACGTAGGAAAATGATGGCTGTCTAATAATTATTATAAGTCTTTAACGCTGTACTCTACAAAGGACGTTGGCTACGTTTCCTCGCTAAATGGCTATATTAAGTTATGGACAAGAAAAGAACCAGCTCTTTAGTTACCAGCGACAACGGCCAGTCGAGGATACAATTCGCCTCACCTCATAAATAACTGTTTACGCCACTTGGTACAAACTCTACTCATTTATTTGCGTGTTTACTCAGTTCCTCCGCCTCTGATGCTTGTGAAGGGTTGTTATGATGATGATAAAGATGATTTCTATAGTTATAAAGGGATAATGTTAGTAAAGTTAAAAAGTAAATTTTACAAGTATACCAGTCTCTCTGCTAGGCACAGGGAGTAAAATTAAGAAGGATAAAAAAAATTATGACCGTCTCATGTAGAGCACATAACTATTTTAACCGACTTAAACAAAAAAGGAGCTTTTGAGTTCGGCTTTAACATTCAAATTTTTTGTAAACTTATTACTCACGCTGGTATTTTAATGACTGTTTTAACCCCTAGACTTGTCCAAATAATCCAATCATTATTATAAAGTCTGATTTATTTAAAATTTCCAGCCCGGCTACGCGCATGGTTTGGGCTCACTACAGTTCCCCAACGGCGGCTCGCCCGTCGTGTCTAGAACCACAATCTACTATGGATCACAACATCAGGTATGAAAACTGTAATGAAGAGTATTGTTTTTTTATAAAACTGAGGCGACGAACGGACTACAGTTGACCTGATAGTAAGTGACAACTGCAATTCATCAGCGCCTGAAGTCAACTTCCAACAAAGAAGGCTACAGGTGCGTTGTCACCTCTCTGGACTAAGATGGAGTGGCTCACAGTTTGCAATAGTACTGGCTCTCTACACCCATAGATAATATACTATATTGGGCATAGATGAGCCACTCTGACAAATTATTAGGTAACGAAATGAGGGAAGTTTCTTCTGCGCTGTTATAGATGGCGTTGGTATTATAAATTACCGAAAAATACACTATAGGTAGTGAAGTGTAGAGGTAAGGAGTGCAGACTCTATATAAAAAAGTGTCCGTGGGAAAGCGCTAAATAAGGGTGGCGCCACTGAAGCTACAGTTTAAATTTTAAAGAACTTTTTATAATTTTTCTATTGCACAGACTTACCGTAATTCTTTTTACCACAATTATTTTATTGCTTTCAAAATTTTTATTTTCCCTGTAACTACTCCAGCGCTGTTGTGGAGAGATTTTGAACTGTTATTTACTGCTTACAGATGGACACATTTTCAACTATTCTACTATGAGAGATTGTTTTCCTTACCTCTATATTCCGTGACTATAGGGCACTATCAACTTGGTTCAGTATTATTTCAAAAATTAGAAAGTTAATTATTTGTTAAAAATAATTTGCATTACATAATTTTTCATTTTGCTTCCATTAAATAACTTTGATTTGCATTGCTATAATTATTCGTTAACACGTTCCCAGCGGCACTGATTTATCTGTACTTTCCATTACTGCGTTACGAGACGTTTGAAACCTCGTTCTGAACCAGAGAGGTTGGAGCGGCGCGAAGTTTAGAAAACCCCACCGCCCACATTAGACAAAAAACCTTTTTTTTGGCGTCTCCTTATTTGGCGCCAAAAAAGGATTGTACGGCTTTTGTCGCGATTATTATTATCAATGAGTTGATTAACCTAAATCTGCCGCCGCCTGTGGGCTGATTATTTAGTTTAGATTCTATAGGTAAAATAAAATGTGGGTTCTTATGTACCCCATACCTAGTGTTACCTAAAATTGGTCTTGGTCTTTCAATTTTAGCAAAACCAAGACCAAGACTGACCGTGCAAGATTTGAGCAAAAACAAGACTAAGCCTGCGAGACTCTTGCGTCTTGCAGTTAGGTATGAGTGTCGTTTCAGGGAGTATAGGAGTTCGGGTATACGCTTAGGGACTCTATGAGACGCAAAGAATATATAAAAAAAAATTGAAAAATTGGACTTATGCGCATTACGAACAATACCATAAACATACATAGCGGATGAAAATATCCATTAAAAGAAAAAAACAGTGCATCCCTAGTTTTGACCATCGGCACTTTGTTAGTGCGCGGCGTCTTGTTGTTGGCATCATCAAAGGTCGAATACTGACCTGTCAAAGAAATTTTGCAGCTATTAGGAAGAGGTCAAGATACACGCGCCGGCGGCTTCTATTGATATCGCATTCAATCGTCGCCGCCGTGCCGCACGCACTACATTTGACACTGTTTGAATGCCGCCACAGAGTACATGTTCCAAAGAATAAAATAAGTTTCCGGGTGCTCAGAATGGACACGAATACATTATGCTGATCTCGCAAGGAATATTGTAATTAGATAATGGTAAGGATAGGTAGATACCATAATAATTTATTCTAGTAAGTAATTATTATAATATTAACTATATGGGCTTATAATAATTACTTACTATTATTATTATTACCTAATAGATAAACATGTTCAATAAGTTCACTGCAAATCTCGATTTTTGGAAGTGTGTGTTTTTGAACACAAAGTGTTCGAATATGTCGTCACCCATTTGATAAATATTGTAGACACTTTTAGCACACTTGAAACTTGTAAACATTTTGTACAATGCTAATCGAATAATATAAAAAGTGTGCATATTAAATAAAGACCGTAAAATAAGATCTATGTACTTTTTAGGAGCCCGAGTATCTCTTAGAGAACCGTTTAAAGAAATTGATTGCATCGAATTGATGTAAATAACAGTGATTTGCACAATTTTAATAGTAGAAATAAAAATAAAATCACAATACCTGCTTTCCGGTTACACAAAGTATATAATGCGTTCTTGGGTAGCGATATACGCTTTTATAATAAGATTCCAAAAGAAATGTTAGATCTTTCACCTTTTCAATTTAAGTCAGACAAAAATGCTTGGAACTGACCTCTCGTACTACACAGGACTAACTAGAAATTTCTAAACCGATTTGGTATCTACATATACATTTGACATTTTATGTTTGACTTATCGCTCTACATAATTATAGAACTATTGTAAAAATATTTTGAAAAGAGCAACTACTGAGTTTCTTACTTTCTTCCATGATTCTTCTCAGTAGAATCAGAACCCCTGGACATGGAAAAGAAAAAATTGGGGAAAACAGTGAATATATGACTATTCAAAAGTGTATTTTTAATGCCTACTTGAATAAAACATATTTGAATTTTGAATTTAAAACGAGTGAAGGCTAATTTAATTTAAATAACGTAGATTAATTCAATCACAAGAAGAACATAATATACACAATTTTATTTACATATTTACATTTCATTTTTACGTAGGCACACTATACCTATCTGGCAACGCATCTACTTTATTAATCTTCTGAAGAATCATTAATTTTATCAACGGATGCCGAACATTCCTTTGTCGGTCTTTCGGCGTGTACTTACAAATAGTAGTATTTATTTTAATTCCAGTCATTCCCAATTGAGCTTTGTTTCGAGTCTAATGTATTAATTGTTTTTACTCTAATCCTTGTTGTTCTCGGAGTGATAAGTTTACAATTTGACATGAGTTACGAAGAGTCGAATAGTTCTAGTCGGAGTAGTGAGAGTTGGAGTTATAGATCTAAAAGACCTAAAAGTAAATTTGATGAGTTTTTCGACATAATTCATGCATCCCAAATTGCTTTGTGTAAATTATGCCAACATAAAAAGGTTGAAATATAAATGAAAAACAGAAACACTTCAGGCTTAAGGAAGCATCTAATATCTTTCCACAAAAAGGAATCACAAATATTTCTTCATGAAAAACCAAAATTAAGTGGAGATATCACAAGCTTTTAATAACCACCGGAAAAAGTGGACAGGTAAGAAAAAATATACTTATCACACAATTACATAACACATATATTATGTAACTAGCGGCCGCCTGCGACTTCGTCCGCGTACAATATCTGATTTCCTATGAGATTTTGAAATTTTCTCCCTGCAAAAGTCTTACCTAAGTATAAAGAGGCTATATAGGTAAAGCTTAACTATGCAAGTATTTATTATTTAAAACTAATAAAGTAAATGTCGATCTTCATATCTATACTTTAAAAATATAGGACTTGCATGTAACCATTTTACCCCAATTTCACCCCCTTAGGGTTAGGATTTCGTAAAACAGCTTATTCAGGATTTTATTATTGAAAACTTATAACTTTAATGCCGATTTTCGTGTCTCTAACTTCAAAAACGTAGGACTTTCATACAAATTTCCAACTCCCATTACACTCCCTTAGGGATAGATTTTCTCAAAACCATTTCTTAACTGATCTCTATGCCATAAAAGGAACCTACCTTACAAACTTCAAGTTTGTATGTTTTATGGTTCCTGAGATATCCTTATAGTCAGTCAGTGAGTGGTAGTTATATATATTTTTAGTATATATAGATTATAGTGTTAAATATGTATTTATAATTCACTCATATTTTCATTTCTTTTTATAATCGGCGAAACTCATAATTTACTGTTTTATTTCAGTCTGAAAATAGCAGTGACAACATCACGACAGCTACAGTTGAATGGATGGTTAAAAAAATCTTCCCTTCTCATTTTTCGATGACGAAGCTACACAAGTATATTTTCGATCAATTAGCCCAAATATGGTTCCTAAAAGTTTCCTAAAAAGGTCCACACTTAGAAGGAAGGTCAAAGAACGGTTTGAAGAGCTTCAATTGAATCTTAAGAAACGACTACAACAATTTTCATCTAAAATGTCATTTACTATTGATGGATGGACGTCAATTGCTGGTAGGAGTTACTACGGGGTCACTATTCATTATATAGACAACGAATGGAAGTATCGATCTGTAGTCCTTGATTTTATACCATCACGCGGTCGATATACTGGGGAAGATATTGCAACGATTTTCCACGAATGTTTATTGGAATATGACATAATTGATAAAATACAGGGTATCACGGTCGACAACGCAACTGCAAATACCAAATTTATGTATGAATTGGACAAACAGCTGCCACACTTTGATTCAGACAATCAACATTTCCGGTGCTTTGCTCACATTTTGAATCTTGGTGTACAAGATTTATTAAAGACCTTAGCATTACACAGTGAAACTGACAATAAGGGACAAGAACAGCAGTATGAAGATAATGAAGACGAAACTGAAGAAGATGAAAAATATGCGCCAAATATTGCTGACTCACGTACAGCTATAACAAAATTACGCAGTATTTCCAATAAAATAAAAAGAAGTGAGATATTGAAGAGGAAGTTTCAGTCTGCTTGTGAAGCAGCTGGCGTGCCACCAAATCTGAAAATCATTCAAATTTTCAAATCACAGATAGTGAATGGCAAATACTCGAAAAAATACATAAGTTTCTAATAAACTTTAAACTTCTATCAACGAAACTTGGTGGAGAAAAATATGTTACATTACCGCTAGTCATTGTATCATTCAATCTCTTGCTCGATAAAATTGAATCCGTGGTAAAACAAATAGATGAGAAATCTAATCGGTCCGAAGTGGATGAAAGGCTCATTCTGGGTTTTCAAGCAGCTCGAGACAAAATGCTTAAACATTATAAAAAGAGCAACTGGATTTATTGTACCTCTTTAATTTTAGACCTAAGGCATAAGACTCAGACTTTTGAAATGACATTACTTTATAAAGAATATAAAAGTCTACACTCAGTGAATACATCTCTAGAATCACCAAGAAATGAAAAGAAAGTATGTGAATATGATGAAGATGAAGACGTAATAGACTTTGAGAAATTGTATGTATGTCTCTCGACGTCATCTGGATCTGGATCTTTTCATAAAGGCTTAGTTATAGACGAGTTGGAGGAGTACCTAAGTAAACCCAGAGCCGCCATTTCGGTAGACATTTTAGAGTGGTGGAGGACGCATGAGACAGAATATCCGACTTTATCGAAGATGGCCCGTGATTTTCTTTCAATACCTGCAATTTCAGTACCTGCTGAGAGATTATTTTCTAAAGCATCATTAGTAATTAGAAAACATAGAAATAGGTTAAGTGATGAGTCAGCCAGATGGTTACTTTGTATTAATTCTTGGTCAAAAGAATGAATATAAAGTAACAGTAATGTCAAACCTGTTGTGTACTGTCATGTAATTTAATTTGTATTGTATTTTATTTTTTTTTATTTAAATAAATGGTAAATTGTATAACTCTTTTATTCCATTTTATATAAGGGTCTATCAATCTCTTTCTAGACAGATAATGTTCTTTATAATACAGTCAAGTTAATGTCATTAATTTGTTTTTTATATGTTTTGACAAAGTTTTAACACATGTAAGCTTATTAAATGTAAACGTTTATTAAGAAACAGACTAACTCCCGTGGCCGTGAGACTTGGTAGACAGCTCATTTGGTTAGAGCATCGGCACGGATCGCTTAGGTCGTGGGTTCAAACCCCACCCGGTATGAGTTGATTTTTCGAATTGCTCATTAAATGTTTAGACATTTATTAATTTGGTTGGTCTTTCTATGGCTATGTTAATTCAAGCTCAAAATGTGCCTACTCTGTTAAGTTGTTCTAAGATCTAAAGTAACGTTTAATAAATAACAATAGGCTAATAGATAATTGCGAGACTTGCGAGACTCTTGCTGCAAGACCAAGACCAAGAAGAAGACTGAGAGCGCAATACCAAGACCAAGAACAAGACCGGGTGTATTGGCGCAAGACCAAGACCAAGACTAGCATCCTACACATCTCTTCTTTGATCCTTTTTCGGGATAATGTGAATTGTTTGGAGTGGGTTCTGAAAAAAAAACTGATAGTGTATTTTTGAAGCGGGTTGATTAGGTGTAACGATTTATTGGAGTATTTCTAAACCTAAGTATAGAATCTGGTAGTAGAGAAATTTCTACATAATTATTTCACTTAGACTGAGTATAATATGTAAATATTGATTGGAAACTTACCTATTTTCAAATATCGGTAATTTAGAATTAGATTTACCACCCGATTCCAATATACAACAATAATATTATTGGTGATGAAGACATCATCAATAATATTATTAATTAACTTTCTTCGGCAACGTTTCGACATCTTGTTATATCGTCGCTGGTGCAGCGTTCAACGTTTTGCACAACACTAACCGCGTAAAGCTAGCGTAGGGTGTAGTTCGAGGTGTGCGGGGGTACGAGGTGTCGCAACCTCGTAACGCACTATATTAAAATTTTATTTATTCAGTGCGGTACGAGGCCTAAAAATCCGGTATTAAGGTAGGTATACCAAAACCTCGGCATCAATAGCACATCTCAGATGTATAGTTATCTCTTTCCTAGACTGAACCAGACGGAAGTTACGCCTCTCGCACGACAGAGAAGTTTAAGTTTTTCCTTACCGCTATAAAGACGAGACACGGACGAGGTGTTTCAAGCCTCGTTTCGCACTCATCGTGTTAAGAGTTTTTCTGTATATATACGGCAGTATTTCAAAACTTTGAAAGCGTGATTTAGAATTCGGTATAAATAATAAATGTCAGCAGTGACGCCGCGAGTGACGATCATTACAGCCTTTCACAAGTCCGCTGCTCATCATGGGCCTCACTCAAAGAATGCCACAAAGCACGCCACCTGCGTCCATCGACTTCCTGCATGTTATACCAGATCGTCACTCCATCAAGTGTGGTATCGCCCTAAACTTCGTTTGTTCACGACTGCCAGTACGAGACTGCCACTTCAGAACCTTGCTTTTTCATCGGTTGTCAGTTCTTCAAGCTATATGGCGGGCTATTATATTTTACAGATTTAATATTTGTTTTTATTTAGAGATAGACCATGTCTATCTCATCATCATAATCATTACATCCTATTTCAAGTCCACTGCAGAACATAGGCCTCCCCAAAGGGACGATCTGCATCTGCTGTCAGGTTGTTACTCTATTAAAAAAAGGGGCGGCCTTACACTTCACCAGTAAGGTATAAGGCTTCCACTCGATAACCTTCAGTTTCAACGTTACCTAAGTAAGACGACATAAATTCTAATCACTACGCGAGTAACGTGCGTGCGAGAATTTGCATAACAGTGAAATTCTGTTTTTTTTTTTTTTTTTTTTAATAAAATAACTTCAACAGTCGTTAATAGTAATATGAAATCGGTCTATATTTTTTAACCGACTTCAAAAGGAATAAATTACTATATTCAATTATTTTTTGGAATTTTTTTCTAGTTGAATCGATGATTATTTTTTATTTGAAAGCCGGTGCTTCTCATGTGGTCCCATATTTTGATCAAGATCTTATAGTAGTGTTTGAGTTATCCCTAATAATGCGTATTTAATTGACTTCGACTACATTGATGATGTTCTCATTTTATTTGCTATTGAATTCGGTTGTACAAAATTTTCGATTTTACAACTTTAATTTTAGATTCTTATAATTACATTATATATTATGTTCCGAATTACTTGTGGACAGATGAGCAATAGCAGTCACAGTAGCGGTCGCTGTACCGCTCCGTTACCAGAGTTACCGCTGTCCTGCTACCGGCAACAGCTGCATTTACGTCGCTGTGACGTGTTACGATCACCCTCCTCTACCCTTGGCTTAAGGCTTCACATGTACACGGAAGGTGAGTTGGACTAATTACGATCGTAGCAGTGTATTATTTACAAGATTAGGCATCTATTAATTGAAGTTGTTAAATTGTTACAAGTGAGTTCGAGCGTAAATTAACACACTCTTGGGTGGAATGATGGTAAATATAGAATTATAAGGGAATTTAATGATTATAGCACAAAATTAGTTTTGAAAATTAACGATCTTTCGACTCGATGTAATGGCGGCTGATCCTGATACGACGGCGTCTCGCGTTTCGGGCCCCGCAGCGACCAGCCGCGTCTTCTATGCGTAAACTTCTTAACACACTACATTAACGATATTATTTTTTATAGCAACTGAAAAAATAGGCTGTTGGTAAAAAACGAAATATGCAATGTTTAAAAAAGTGAATCACATTTCATTTATGCATAATATAAATAAAAGTATCTAATAGTTCTTTGATACTCTGCAAGTGATCACAATAGTAGTAGTATTTAATGAATTATAATTTATATTACGTAGTTTTTAGCGTTGTTACGTATGTAAAATTTAAGCTGATATTGAAATTTAAAAAAAAATTAAAAATCATATTAAATTGTAAATTAATTACTTAATTCATTTAATAAAGTATACAGATTCTGGAATAATTCTTCAATACTTAAAACATTTACGACCCTATAATTTAGATTTTAGCTTTCGTAGTAGAAGTAGAAGTAAGTAAGAAACTTATGTGGGTTGTGTGCTTAGAAATATAGGAACTGTGTTAATATTAAGGCATTATTTTACGTACTGTTATACTTTAGCTTGGGGGTATTTCGAGACAAATAAAATCCTACCAAAACAGATGACAGGTGTCATAGTCTTCCTAGTAACAAATAAAAAGAAAAACTGCGGTTTTCTACCTGTCAATGTGGCCATTCTAGCAAATATCCCAATGGGGAATATCATTTATTGTCTATGCCAGCATAGGCGATATATGTGATGGTCATACCTCCATAAGGCCTTGTGGCATTTTCCGTGCGAAGTAATAGATTCTCTTACGCTACCACGACACGAGTGATTGAGAGTTTGAGAGCATCTACGATTTTTTCTGCCACTAGGGCGGCACCGCCCACATAGTAATGGTATGAAATATTTGACAGATTTCATAGCGGAGAAAGTTACGTTTCTTTTTGGAACATATTAGTAATATTTTAAACGATAGAGATTAAAAATAGATAAACTAAACTACGGTTATTTATAAAAGTAGAAGATGTAAAGAAAAAGTTAAAAATGTGTAAAAAAATTAAAGATTGCAGCACTGAGGCATTGTTTTGTACATACTAGAAACCGAATAACCTTCAATTCAATTGCAACTTTTCGACGGTGATGACTGCTGACACTATGGGACCATTCGCGTAACAAATTAGTGCTAAGAGTGGACGTCACAAAACGTATATAATATACAATATCTTTACAAGTATAGCGGTACAATATCCAATATTTATGTATTGGGCAATAGACTAACTATGTATCGGATACCGCTGCAGTACCTTTTTTTACCTGGAGGTCTCGCGGGGGCAACGACGAGTTATGTTGCATTCGCGCGTGGTGCGGTTCGGCGACAGCTGCCAGGCGATGTCGCGCGCGCTGTGTGCGTGTTAGTAACGAGTGTATGTGTGTGTCGGTGTAAGTGAGTCGCGCGGCAGTTCTGTGTCGCTGGGTGCGCGGCGCGTGGTGCGGTTCGGCGACAGCTGCCAGGCGGTGTCGCGCGCGCTATGTGCGTGTTAGTAACGAGTGTATGTGTGTGTCGGTGTAAGCGAGTCGCGCGGCAGCTCTGTGTCGCTGGGTGCGCGGCGCGTGGTGCGGTTCGGCGACAGCTGCCAGGCGGTGTCGCGCGCGCTGTGTGCGTGTTAGTAACGAGTGTATGTGTGTGTCGGTGTAAGCGAGTCGCGCGGCAGCTCTGTGTCGCTGGGTGCGCGGCGCGTGGTGCGGTTCGGCGACAGCTGCCAGGCGGTGTCGCGCGCGCTATGTGCGTGTTAGTAACGAGTGTATGTGTGTGTCGGTGTAAGCGAGTCGCGCGGCAGCTCTGTGTCGCTGGGTGCGCGGCGCGTGGTGCGGTTCGGCGACAGCTGCCAGGCGGTGTCGCGCGCGCTATGTGCGTGTTAGTAACGAGTGTATGTGTGTGTCGGTGTAAGCGTGTCGCGCGGCAGCTCTGTGTCGCTGGGTGCGCGGCGCGTGGTGCGGTTCGGCGACAGCTGCCAGGCGGTGTCGCGCGCGCTATGTGCGTGTTAGTAACGAGTGTATGTGTGTGTCGGTGTAAGCGCGTCGCGCGGCAGTTCTGTGTCGCTGGGTGCGCGGCGCGTGGTGCGGTTCGGCGACAGCTGCCAGGCGGTGTCGCGCGTGCTGTGTGCGTGTTAATAACGAGTGTATGTGTGTGTCGGTGTAAGCGTGTCGCGCGGCAGCTCTGTGTCGCTGGGTGCGCGGCGCGTGGTGCGGTTCGGCGACAGCTGCCAGGTGGTGTCGCGCGCGCTATGTGCGTGTTAATAACGAGTGTATGTGTGTGTCGGTGTAAGCGCGTCGCGCGGCAGCTCTGTGTCGCTGGGTGCGCGGCGCGTGGTGCGGTTCGGCGACAGCTGCCAGGCGGTGTCGCGCGCGCTGTGTGCGTGTTAGTAACGAGTGTATGTGTGTGTCGGTGTAAGCGCGTCGCGCGGCAGCTCTGTGTCGCTGGGTGCGCGGCGCGTGGTGCGGTTCGGCGACAGCTGCCAGGCGGTGTCGCGCGCGCTGTGTGCGTGTTAGTAACGAGTGTATGCGTGTGTCGGTGTAGGCGCGTCGCGCGGCAGCTCTGTGTCGCTGGGTGCGCGGCGCGTGGTGCGGTTCGGCGACAGCTGCCAGGCGGTGTCTCGCGCGCTATGTGCGCCGGCGCGCCTGTACTACAAGGCAGACGACAAGATGCGCATCCCCCGCCCTACCGCCCGCCGTCGACCACCGCCAGCATCTGACTACTTCTTCAACTACTTCACGCTCGGCCTGGTTAGTATTTTTTTAATATAGAATAAGGGTGACAAACGAGCATACAGCCCACTTATATTATGTGCCAAATCGATTGAGAAAAAACGGAGAATCACCTCAGATATGAGCCGAGTGTCAAAAGGCGTAACTTACAAAATCTCAATTTGAAATTCAAAATCTCAATTTGAAATATTGATATTATTCACACTTCTAGGTCAGACATATGTTTTTTTTGTTTCTTAAATAATATTGTCTGTGGTTCCTGTATACATCGTAAAATCTTACGGTACATCGCGAAAAATGTGTTATATTTTATATTTAAATTTATGGTAAGTAACACAGCAACTCATTTAAGCAATATAATCACAGTTCAGTTTCAGTTTAAAAACAGTTCGTTCTAAAAGAAATGTGACAATGGCAGCCAGAGATGCGTCACCTTTTGTAAAAGTGTGTTAAGTGAAGTTGAAGTATTAAAATAAAATAAAGTTTTATCTTTTGAATAAGTACGTCCTTATTCGGTGTCGTTATCACTCAAATCTTTATATGTGATATAAATTAACGCTTTTTGTTGTTAAATGAATAAAGTACTTTATAACAGATGACATAGATGATTTTTCTTCTACAGTGATCTTTTACATAACTTTTTTAATAATAGTTAACAAATATATATTATACCAATCATTATAAAAAAATAAAAAAATCATTATAAATAAAGAAAGAACTACATATAAAATGTGTCTATATATTGAAGGTTTGTAACCCCTGATTAAACGACCGAAAGGTCATTGTCCGTTTTTCTCAATCGATTTGGCGATGTGAATGTTGTGGCCCATAGATATTTACATTTATCCTCGATTAAGAATCAAAATTCAGATGCGTTTGTCACACCTAAGGACTTAGGTGGAATGCCTCGTTTCCAGGAATAATAAATCTCCGGTTCTCTACACTCACCACACGAAACACAGCAACACGACGCTGTGTAGTATTCTATGAGAGCGTAGTCCTACCCCGCTCAAGCCGATCCATTCGTGCTACAACCATAATATAGCTGCACCATGGCTTGACCACCTTAAGTAAATACAATCTCGCAATTCTAAAGTTACATATTTAATAATAAACGAATTAAAACATATTATTAAAAGAAATAAAGACAATTTTATTATTTTCTAAAAAGTCATTTTATATTACTACTTAAAAAAAGAGATAAAAAATATTTACTTGGACATCTTTGGATGGAAATGGATGTGATTTTGTGAGTATGGCGTGTCTAGAGATGAACAACGTTAAATCGATTTTAAAAAGGCAATTATCGATACACAATGCAAAGCAAAAATTACCGATTAGCTATCGATGTAAAAATGAATACCGAAGCATGTTATATTTCTTTATAAACTACAACAAGCATTTAAATTATGTTAAAGTTTAATACAAATCATGACAATAGTTTCATAATAGCTGTTCCCGCGACCTCACTCGCGTGCTGTTTATTACGATTGGATTTTATAGGTTTCAATGTTTTTTTGCGCGGGATTCTAATTCATTTTCTAAAATAAGATAACATCAGAACAAACATACAGACAGACAATTTTTTATAATTGTGTTTGTCTTTTGTTATAGATACAGTATAAACTTTCATATGCATTTAGTAAAAGGCTGGTGTTTAGAAATTACAAACAGACACTTCAATGTATAGATATGTATTTTTTGAAAATAAAAATCATCTTATATTTCATGTTAATTGCAACATTCATATTACTTTACTTATCTTCACGCACAATCCCTAACGGGGTAGCCAGTGAGAACAGATCGCCAAGTGTCACGATCCTTACGCTTCTTTCAGGTTCATTATCTTCTTCATACATGCACGTCTAGGTATCTCCCCTCTTCGAGTAATTTGCTCACATGGTCTTCGAAAGTTAGTCTCGGTCTACCTCGACACCTTTTAATATTTACTTTCGCGCTATATGTTTTCTTCACCATTCGGTCTTCACTCATTCGCTCAACGTGCCCAAACCATCGGAGTACGCTCCTATCAATTTTTGTGATAAGGTCATCTTTCAATCCTGCCACATTGCGAATCTCTTCGTTTCGCTTTCGGTCGGCTATGGTAACGCCGCACATTTTACGAAGAGATCGCATCTCCACTGCATTCAACTTGCTTTTATGCTTCTTCTGGCATACAGGTTTCGCTGCCATATAACAAAGTCGGTTCCAACACTGCGTTACGTATTGCAAGGCGTACACTCTTCACTACGCCTTGCCTTTTGACTAACGCATTCAGGGCACCATTGACTTTGTTCCCGGCAGCGACACGCCTGTCCACATCTAAATCACAAAACATTCATATTGACATTTAAACAAATAAAATGGCTGCCACCATCTTTAATTTTCAGTACGGCGTTGACTGCACCGGTAGCTTTTCAAGGTACGCGTACTAGCGCCTTTCTCTAAATGTGTATTAGTGTTGCCATGTCCAATGGGCTAAATATCGGGACGGAAGGTAAACATTACCTAGAATTTGGTTTTCAAATCTAATGTAATAAAAATAAAAAATAGGTTTTATATATAAGGCCTATAAGATAGGCCAAGTATTTTTGACAAATTTATAATTATTCTTTTTGCCGAAGCTGACCAACGAATAATTTATCGTCTATGTATTGGAAACACTGTATATTCGTCTATGTGATTTTTTTTCTGTAAATCAGAATTTGTTGAACGTTTAGTTACAATTTCAATAAATATTGACGTGATATTTATATATTCGATTTATTTTAAAACCGATTCTTGATAGTTTGTGGTTGTTCGTTATGGCGTGGCATAGTTTAGCGTGCCACATCACTCTCGTAAGTGGCCGGTACCCATCCGTGATATACAACAATATCTGTATGACAGTTTATCTATAAAAAAAAAGACGAAACTTCGTTGGCGTGAGTTGTCATTCGCACCATGCTTCAACGCAAAGACTATTCAACTTTTATAAGTTTTATTACTGTTAAAAATTTAAAGACGCTTTTATATTTTTTTAGCCCTTGATAGACAAAAGACAAATGTACCATACAGTCTATATCGATTTGGTGTGTAATCGACTTATTTTGGTAAATTATTAATTAATATAATTTTTTTCCTCTAGGTGACATTTCCGGTTCAAATAATAGAGCGCTAAATATAAAACACGTAAATAATATAAATTAAAAGTCAGGAATACAATTTTTTTAATCAAAATTAAATGAAACGCTCATGACACGTGCACTTTTGGATTTTCCAAAAATTTGAAGTTTACCATGGAATAGTGCCAAAAATATGTCACAACAAGCCAAACGCACTAAACTTTTCAAAAGCACACATATTTTTATATATGTATTAACGAATATTCAACTGTATAATTTACCTGTGAATAACATTATGTAGTGCGGGGAACACTTTCTAACCCTAAAACCCTCTAAGAAATATAAGATAGCCTGTGGTCAGGCGTTGGACGTTTATAGGCTGTAACTTTAACGCTATATCTTTAAACACCTGTCGCGTACTCATGAACTCATGATTATGAGCTAGCGGTACGTCTATGCATATGAAGTCGCTAAATTTAAGATACATTTCCGCTAGAGATTTTTTCCGAAGTTTAAATGACTATCAACAAGTGATCTTGTAATGTATAAAATAATTTTATTCTATTCTTTACTCAGGACGTATTGTTCGACGCGCGCACTCACCGTGTGAAGAAGTTCGTGCTGCACACCAACTACCCGGGCCACTACAATTTCAACATGTACCACCGCTGTGAGTTTGAGCTCACCGTGCAGCCCGATAAGTGAGTATACTATCTATACCACAAATTTTTTTTTATTAGCTATAAGTTCACTATTAGCATAGTGAAAACAGAATAGTAGGCTATCTTCTAAGAAACGTACCGAACGCCGCTAATATGTGTGCGTGCCTGGCACGTGCCAGTACTGACTCGTACGCACGAGCGTCAGCAACGTGCACACAACGATACTTGCTAAGTTGGAAAGGTTTGGCCGAGTCGGGGTCGACCACCTCAGCGCTCCGCAATCCCCTTTGTTTGAGACTGTTGACTTTTAATAAAATTTTGCTAGCAGTTTTTTTCGTTTTATTTTCTCTTTTTGTAAAACAAATTAATATATGCGTTTGTTCACATAAATTAGCTTTTATTAATAGTTTATATTACTATATCTATACATAGATACATACCTCATAAGTACATTAATTGTAATATCATATCAGATCAAATTAATTTTAAACATTAAATCTGAGCTAACGCCGTATGCTCAGTGTAAACTTATTCGTATTTTAGTTATTTGCCACTTTTTGTAATGTAAAGCTGGAATTTTTTTTGATGAACATTGATTCTTTGAGAGGAAACTAAAGTAATTATTAACAAATATGATGCATAGGTAAGTATCCGTATGTATTATGTTTGTAAATATTATAACTACTTGTAAAACTAAATGAGACTTACCTGTTAAACAAAAAGACAGTCACAATCCTGCAACAGTAGGCATTTAAGTCTCGCGCGGCGCGGGAATTCATCCTACTATTCTGTTTTACTATGATATTAGGAATGGAGCTCACACAAAGTAGAAAAAATGTTTCTCGGTTATGGGTATTTCATATCTGGCATTACTAGATGGTACCTATTTTGTCTACGAGTCAGTCAGGGTAAGTACCGCCCCCTTCCGTATTTCTACCGCCGCTTGCACTGCTGTGTTCCCATCCGGAGGATATAGAAAGCCAGTATAATTACAAAATGTGACGCATTCCACCTTAGTCGTCAGAGGTGACAACGCACCTGTAGCGTTCTTTGCTTGAAGTTGGCTGCAGGTATCCATGGACTGCAGTAACCATTTACCATCAGGTGGACATTTGGTTCGTATATCATTTTGGTTTTATAAACAATATACCAAATTGTAATGCCACCATCTATTGAAGGTCTATGAGATTTTTGTGACAATTTTTTTTGTGGACCTATGCGATACCTATTTACCTAACGGAGTAGTGTCTTAGCTGTTGCCACCAAAAAATTTTAAATATCTAAGTTCAAAAATAAGGGGTTTTCGAATCAGAACATATAATTGTTTTTAATGTTCGTAATGCAATATGTTTGATGTAGTCAATCAACTCTGCTGACGATTTTTGGGTCGATTTGTATTTTTTTTATTTTTTTATTTATTCTTATAAAGAGTGTACATTATTTACATTTTAAATTTTGCCAAACTGTAAGCCAGTTTGTCGGCAACGTAACAGTTTATCGTTTCACACTTCTTAATAACAATATCTGGTACTTATAACTACTTAAATTAACACATAAATAATTAAAGAAACATTCACCACTATGGACACAACCATAGAATACTATAATACATAATAGAATGGCTGTCAACTTTATTTTATACGAGGATTGGCGTCGCCAAACCCGATTCGCTGTGTTGACAGACTGAGTAAATTTACACATTTTAGACTTTTGATTAATGTTCAAGATCATCATTAAATTTTAATACATATTTATTTGTAAATAGGGTGCAAATTGGCATTTTCTAAATAATTTGCATGCGAAATTTGGAAACGATTGTAACGTCAAAACACATCTCGAGTTGACATTTATACGTGTGAATTGACGTGTTAGTGACATTTTAGTGGCTACGCGGGCTCCGCCCACTCCCCCGTTCTATTATGTATGTATTATAGTATTCTATGGACACAACGACAGATAATGTTTCCTCGTAGTTACACTTTCGTCACATATATCCGCCACCTTATTACACAAAGTTGGAGTTATCCATTGCCTTGTACGCCGTCCAAAGTCTTTTTCAGTCCTAGGTATGAGATATATTCTACTTTAACTAATTTGGCACTTCGTCATTATATATGGCCTAGTTTTCTTAAATGTTACCATACCATGCTGTTCTAATATGATGATGGATTTTACTTTCATGTCTATGTGAATAATTTTGCAAATTTTAAATAACATTTCGTAATTTTTATCTAGAGCAATTTTCGTTTTAGGATCAACTAATATCTTTAAGAATCTTATCTGTATAGTCTTTATTTTGTTAAGATATGTTGGGAATGTGAGTCCATATGCACCTAAGCCATATCCGATCGTTGCGTCTGCTAGGGCATAATACAGCATATGATTCCTCGGTTCACAACATATTTTATATGATTCAGTTTACCTTATACTGCTCTAAGCCTGTTACACACTAATTCGACATGTAAGTCCCATGAGAAACGATTATCTATAAACCAACCCTAAATATTTATATAGTACGTTTCTAGGGCAGGCGGAAAAAAGTACATTGACCTTTGACGATATCATCGGGGTAGGCAATCTTTTTTATTTAGGTTCATTTTTTTCCTTTCATCATTACATACATCATCAGAGTGAAAGATAAGGATGCCGAGTGTGAAGTTCTTTACAGGCCCTATGTCTATTATTATATTATAAAGAAAGAAGATTATCCTGTACCTAAATGGATTAAAAAGCAAATTAATATTAATTTAAATTTATTATTTATAAATCATGAGATATTACAATTTTCATTATTACGTTAATAGTAGGTAAGTACTTTAATAATTCTTGGCAGTCAGGTAAAAAGACGAACTTTTAATGCTAAACATCCTTAAGCAGCCAACCTTGAAGCATGCATAAAACTTCTCATAATAGATTGTCAGAGACACTTGACAGTTTCAATATTTTAGGTTATAATCAAGTCACATTGATTATAACCTAAAATATCGGCAGTCTTCTTTTTCATATCCGTTTTGGATGGAAATACGTCACTAGACCACGTTTCTTTTACGTATTTATAGATGTTTACGATCATTATTTTTTCGGTTTCCGAAATATGCGACACTTTCCGCTTCTTTCACGGCGACGTAAAGTCTTTATGACATTTTCATGGCGATAGACCGATACTGATAATATACAAAACGTCACAAAACAATAACAAAAACTTTAATACAAAATGTAATAATACAACTAACAAAACAAACCTAATAAAAATTAAAACAACTACCATAACCGAAAATTTTAAATCTCAAACTATATACACGCAAGCGCATCCCAAAGCAGAATGAGGAATGAGTTCAGCTCCATCCGCTTTCTCAAATACGTACGGCGTGAGACCTATCGCAAATTGCGACGAAACAGGTTTATTATCTCTGAATGACCGCTTCCTTCACCCTACCCCGTACCATGAGACACGCTTCGCGCATAACGATACGTAATCTATAAAGAAATGTATGGAAGCAATAACTGTCGTTTTGTTTCGATGCTAACATAATACTTGAGGTCAATGTACTTTTTTCCGCCTGCCCTAGAAACGTACTATATTATAGTTTGTTACAAATTGTAGCTTTTCGCAGCGACAGAGAAAGCTCAACCGGAATTATGTATTATAAAATTAAATTTTAACTTAATCTCATGACTTTTTCACATAGAAAATAAATATTTTTTCATTACCTATGTAATTAACCTAATTACAGTTATGATGACAATGGTATAATAATTACAGATGCGAGTCAAACGCTCTAGTTGAAAGCCGTGGCGCCGTCACCATAACAGCGTACAGCAAATGGGAGACGGTCTCACGGGCGTTGCGTGTTTGCGAGCGGCCTGTAGTGCTAAATCGTGCATCCTCTACCAACACCACCAACCCTTTCGGCTCAACATTCTGCTACGGCTACCAGGACATGATATTCGAGGTGAGAACACCAACTTTATGAACGTTTATTTTTTGGTCCTTTAGGCTGGATATTTTTACGCCATATTCGAAATGAGGTAAACCAACTTCAGATTTATAAAATATATTAAAATTAAATAGCTTAAACCCGGGTTATAAATTAAAATGTGATGTGATGTGCTGCTTTCAGGAGCACCTCCCTCCTTCAATTATGTTCCCTATTTATTACTGTCACTACTAGACCCTCTCGACTCAAACCCACAACTACACCAACAGACAAAGCTGATTTAGTTATTATATAGTTATTCTATTTCGCCATGAAGGTTTGTTTGACGTGTACCGACAGGCGCGTTCGTAGACAGAGAAACATATAGACAAATTGACGCCTTCTTTCGCATTCGCACGCGAAAAAGATATATTTATGCATACGTCTTGCATAGAAATGAGGCAGAACGGTGTGATTGTTTGTCACTTTCTCCGTGCCGGTTTTTTTGTTTAACAAACTACACTTTGCTAAACAACTTTGACAGTTCGTAGCGGTCTAAGGAGTTTACAAGTTGGTTTAAGTGAGAAAAAAAGTATTTTGTGAGCTTAAGATTGCTGAATCTTGTTCAGTTCAGTTCTTAGAACAATTAAAAACTTTAAAAATGTAATGTCTTAGGATGTAAAAGTGATAGTAAACGTAAACTCACCGGTATATCATTTCACTCGTAAGTATAGTGCATTTTATCTGGTATTACGTATAAAGTTCATTACAGAACTATATAAATATACGTTTAAATTTTATCTAAATATGTTTAAAAGTCATAAAGATTATTGTATAACCTAAAACCGTAGACATAGAATTTCTCTGTCTACCGCTGTCTACGCTATCATCTTTTCTCACTCGAGGCCACGCTAATCATTAGTCTATAGGTTTCTCTGTATACGGGCGTGTTTGTGTGTGTGACTGCGATTCGTTCGACTCGCGATCTCGCGTATGTGTATCTTAAGTATAGTTAGAGAGCGTACTTAGCGTTCGTAGTTAGCAGTATTTAATATTATATTTAATATATATGTGTGTGTGTGATGTATGTTATGTTAATATATATATGTTTAATTATTATATATACTTACATAATGTTTATATATATATATATTATATATATATATATTATATTTATCGCTTGTATATGTATGAGTTTATATATGTGTATATATGTATATGTATATATGTATTGTACATACTTCTTATTACACCTACCTCTTTTATCTCTGCACTACTCTAAGGTAGACTGGTAGATAATGCCTCAGGCATTAAGTCCGTCTATATACATCTAATGTGTATATGAAGTTAAATAAATAAATAAGTATAGTTAGTTATTTAATAAAATTGATATCTGGAATCGGACACCACTACCGATTATTCCGGACCGATACGATTTAGGGACATTCAAGAAAAAAGTCTACAGTTTTTTAAAAGACCGGCAACGCATCTGCAATTCTCCTGATGTTGCAGTTGTTCGTGGGAGGCGGTAGTCACTTACCATCAGGTGGGCCGCATGCTCGCTTGCCCCCCAATATTTAAAAAAAAATCTTTCCCCTACGATGAACTGAACTAACTACTGTTTGAACGGTTTTTTTACTACAATAATATTTAACGCTTGTGATTATACTTTAGGTGATGTCGAACAACTACATCGCGTCGATTACTCTGTACCAGCCTGAAGGCAGCCGACCACACTATGCGGTCAATTCAATAGCGTGACATAGCCAGGTAACGGTAGCGTGACATAGCGAAATTACGAAGATTAATTAATTATAAAAAATATATATAACTTTTTATTTCTCGAAACAGGTTTCGCCAAGCAAAGGGAAGTACACGTCTTGAACGCTGAATAAAGTGAATTGTCAGTCTCAATACAAACTAATCTCCACTAGTGTGGCAACACCTATTCGGAAACCAAAAAAAACTTGCCACACATTAAATTCAATTCTGGCAATGAGACTTCTACATATCTTACAAAGCACCTAAGAGGAAACAGTATTGAAAAAAAATGTGATAAAACTGTTAAAAAAAAGTGGGAAAAATTACGTAAGTGAGTGACAGATCTCAAGATGATGTGTTGATATAAGTTATATTTAGTTTCTTAGCAATAGACGAATTTTAAAGATTTTTTATTTAAAATATCCTAAGTTAAGCTGAAATGTTTTTGATTAATCAGAAGAGTGGGAATGATCTTATTAATGATAATTAGTCAAATGTGTTCTCTTAAGTCTTACAGCTGTAATCTAAAAAGGAAACTTTACACTGATGTAATATTAATCATGGTAAATAGATATATAGACTGGGATGTAAATATTTTTAAAAGTTCGGAGTAAATTACGGAATCATAAATCGATGTATTTTTTCTAAAAATCATTTTCGAATTGAGAGAAGAATGTGTGATTATTGTGATTTAATAAACAAAAAAGTGCAAAAATATTTTCTCATATCATAGGAGCACCACAATAATGCCATGAATGTATTTTATTTGTATTGTTTAAGTGTAGTCTGTTTGATAAATTAAGGGTTTCATAGACAAAAATTTTAATCACATAAATAAAAATAAATGCTGATGTTGATATTACAGTACTATATATAAATGTAAAAGATTTTAAGCGATATACACTGTATTTACATTCGAAGACTCAAACTACATATCATTTGTCTATGGGACGTTTAATTTGGTCAGTGCTATGGAGGGTAGAGGTAACAAGGACTATCCAGATAAACCGAAATCATCGTAAATGGATTGAAGTGTGCAGTTAAAAAAATAGTATTTTTGGTGACTAGAGTAGTTAGTTACACTAAAGTATACAAAACTTCAACAATTCACGTAGTCCAAAAATATGTTTTAAATATAACCTAAAATAACTGCTATGAGAAAACGTGGAGAGTGATTTTATTTTTGTGAACTTAAAATACGTTTGGTAATTTTTTTTTGTGAACTGTCATAAAACTTTTTAAAATAGTCAAAATTATTTTTTGAAATATAAATTGTTTTTAAAATTCACCCTGCTGCTATTGTATCGTCACTCTAATTTAACGCATGTCGACGGACACTTTTCATTCACAGAGATAGTTTTCCTTATCTCTACGTTCCGTAGTCAGCGCATAACAGTGACGTTATTATTTATTCAAGCGTCGTCGTTGTATATAATTTGTTTTTGGTTTTGTGATTTTCTTATTTTTCGATTTTACACCTTTTAATTACAAAATCGAAATGTTCGATCCTGCGACCTTTAAGTTTCGAAAAAAGGAATGATCTTATTTATTTTTATATTTCTTATAAAAATCACAGTGTGCTTGATTTTGAAATACGTAGAATAGATAAGGATCATATAAGATATACAAAAGCTTTGAAGTGCTTGGATTTTAAAGTATTTTTAAAATATGGACGAGTGTAGACGCATGAATGTGTTTTTGTGCTTGTATGTATTTTACTCGGTTTATATATTAAATAACTGTCAGAAATATTCAAACTCGGGTCGTCGACATTTTTTTTTGTAAGGACAGAATTCCTAAATTAAAAATAAAAACATTGTTTCCATTGTATATAAAAATTATGGTATTTACATTTGTGTTGTTATTCTTCTAAGTTTTATTCTTGTTCCATAATATATACAGGGTTATTTTTCAAAGAGTAGCCACAGTTTAAACTTAGTTATACTGTTATTCCAGTTTTTGAAAACGAGTAAATAAAACTTCTACTTTTATTTGAAATTATTCCAAATTGAATGTGATTTATGGTCAACAATGTTTTTGCCTACCTATCGACCCTTACGAATAATGCAAAACTACGCATTTTTAATTAAAAAGATAAAAAGGATAGAATATTTAATTTTTTAAAATTTTTTCCTTACTCTGTATTTTTACACTGACATGTTTTATTCTAATGAAAAATGTCGACCATCTTAGTTTTTTTTTTCTTAACTATAATCTGTGCATTGTAGTGTTATATTCTAAAATATTCTAATAATGTTATTACAAGTAATCAAGTGTGATTCTTATTGTAGATAATTATTGTACATAAAAGTATGTTATGTATATATATCGGGACTATTTCAAGCAACCATAAATCTAGTTCAATTTTTAAACGTTTATAATGCTATAATGCACAATTATAATCAACCAAGTCAGATGTAATATAAATTTTTACTTTGTAAACTCATGCTTAGCTATAATAGTGCCAATATTTTTATGCGAACTTGGACTATGAAACTACGTAACATAAAGTCAAAATTTCAATAACACATGAGCTTAAATAGTAGGCTACATAACGAAAGGGAAGTGGTTGTGATGTATGTTAAACAATTATTGTGCTGTCATGATAAAAACACTTTCAATTTTTGAGCTCTGTTGTTGCATCTAGCTTACATTAAATATTTTGGAGACAAGTACCGACACCAGCCATCTACTAAATTTAAATTTAGCTAATTTTATTTTCGAAAAAAATTATTTAATTATTATAACATAAACAGTTAAATTTATAGTATCGGGTATTTGGGTTTAAATATAAAGCTAACTTTAAATGAAATATGTGAAATAGCGATTTAATTGTATACAAAAACAAACATCTTTATATGAGAGGAGGCAAACGAGTCCGCGGTTCACCTGGTGGTAAGTGAATAACTGCAACACCAGGACAGGGCAAGCAAATGCTTAGCCGGTAAAAAGAGGGGGCTCTTTCCTTGAAGGTCCCAAAACCGAGTCCACGTATCAATTTTGTTAATAACTAGCTTTTCGCCGGTGACTTCTGGATTTTGACAACACCGCCACCTACCGAATCTAATTGTGAATCTAAACCATTCTTGAATCAAATTAATCATCATCAAAATTTTATCAAAATCGGTCCAGCCTTTTGGAGGTTCAGTCACAACGTACTCATGGACAGAAGATATACATATACACATATATACTAGCTTGCCAGGTAGTTGTTCTGCACATTTGGACGTATCTTTATGTCATGTATCTATATAAAAATACTTAAATTCGCATATATATATGTATGTATATATATATATATATAATATAGACTGGCTGTACTCAGCTTCGTCAAATAGGTATTCCACGCGTATTCCAATGTAATGTCAAATTAATGTAGTGTCAAAATTTCAAAGCAATCGGTGAAGAACTGGATATTTAAGTGGAGGGCGTAGTGGTGTCGGATGGCTTATGGCGCGTGCTCTGGTCTTGGGGATGGCGACGGTGTCGGTTTTACCGCCGCACATCAAAGGTAGTGGGCCAGCGATGGTGGTATGCATCTACATGTGGCCCATCCATTCCACAGTTGTGCGCGCTCGACGGTTGAGTGTGGAAGTTCGTTCTTTGTTTATTAATTAACGAGTATGTGGCCTCATAATAAAGTTATATATAGGGCTACTAAAATCTGAACATATACATGATTTATTTTTTATTTATTTATTTTTAATAATTATTTATTAAATTATGAATTATAATTATTTAATTATTTTTGTCTAAAGATAACTAAATTAACTTAGGACATATTTAGTTCTATTGCGATGGATAGATAACATCCATCATCATCTACGCATTTCTTTTTGATAACTCTATTCTTATGCACACTAAGAAAATAATGTTACGTGTTGTATAGATATAATGCCGCAGCGACTAATTCTTCCACGTCCATCTCGTAAAACGTTTCGATCACAACTAAATGTCGCCATCGTGTAGTTACGTTTCAACCATAGAGTACAATAATATATACAGAAATAGAGAGCCATCTCCTAGGATTTTTTGTCACCAAATATGAAGTGTCGCCGTCTGGTATCATATCCCTTGAACTAATCTCAATATCATGTTGACTGTAGATAGCTGTATGTAGTTATGTATATACAGCTAACTATACTATAGGCGGTTATATTTATATTTTAAGGGATTAGGGTTCAATTAAAGACGTATTATAGATTTCAGTAATATTAACATTTATTTAAGCTATTGCATAGCTTCTATCGCGGGCTTGAGCGCGGGGACCGAATCCAGAAATTCCGTAACGAAAAAAAACCTCACGCTCCCCACTCCGAAAGGCACGGAGGTGTGGCGTTGAAAGCCGCGCATCGTCTAACGTCGTTTTAGTTCGGCAGACTTCGGCACGGTGTTTGTGTGCGTGTACACTAGCTGCTAACTCAATGATAAAAATTCCTGAATAACCTACATGTATTGTAAGATATTAAAAATATTTTAAACAATATTAACTTCTCATTTATTCAATTAGAGAAAAAAATTGTTTTCTTATCGGTCACCACGCTCAAAAAGTGTAACTTGATTTAATATCAAAGACTTAACTGCATAAATAAAATAAATAAATAATTATAATTGCATAAGTTGATAATGCTATGCAATAGCTTTACCGCGGCAGTCACCGAGTGCCACACGTATTTATTTTTGTTATATATATTGAACATACACGATGTAAAAGCGTCTATTCCGCAAAAAACAACACCAAACCAAATTAAATATGTCCACCGGGTTACCGGAATGATAAATGAAAGCGTCTATTTCGTACAACACTACACAAACATACAAAGTGGTTGGTAGCATGAAAATCTAAATAGACAACAAGAAACAGAGGGCTAATCCAACTCAACCAAACTTATTGTAGCAACAACCGAAAATCACTTATAAAATATAATAAAACAACAACTTGCTCAGACGCCGGTAGCCATTATGTCATACTCATATTGTCATAGTATAAAGTTGCTACT